AAACCCCTCCAGAACACCATGGGTTCCATTGCGCGGAATTCGTTGGGGTTATCCGACCCTTTGGGTCGGATCCCTACTCCTCAACCCCGCATATGTTTGTTAGGAAGGTCCCGGTATCATTGGGTTCCAGTAATCCAGGTCCCAATCCGCATAATCATCCGGAGTCTGCCGACCACGAATCAGCCCAGTCCCAGCCTTCCCACAGCTGCCAGCCGCCATAGTCACTTACCGCAGCCGTCGACGCATTCGCATGGAACATGAATGGCGCTCTCGTCTGCATGTAGGGGTCCATTGGATCGGCTGGCGTCGTAACTGGCAGGGACATCTTCTCGGGATTGGTGTTGGTGGCTGTCTTGCAAGCGTCCAGAACGCTTTGGAGACTGCGTCGAATGTCCTGCAGTTTTTGCTCCTGGTTCGTGTATTGCACCGATGATAGAACAACGGAAAGTGCAACAATGTCCTTGACGTCGTTGCCGCCAACGTTGCGAACGAGTAAGTTGAGCGTCTTCTCGACAGTCTTAATCAAGCGCGACGGGGACCAAAGCGCAAAAGTCTCGGTGCTGAACGCGACACCGTCGTCCATCGGATCGGGAGACATGGCCACGGTCGATGAGATCCCCAGAGTGTTGCCATTGGCGTGCGACTCTATCGCTGCTTTGATGTAAAAGCACACACTGAAAGCTGCCTGCAAGATATCCTTCTTCAAAACCATATGGTACATGTCGCTGATGTCTTGGAAGTGGGTGAGCAGGGGGTCGAGTTCGTCGAGGTATCGCATAATGACCATGGATGACCGTAGATATGCCCTAGAAATCTGCGACGGCGCGTCTGGCAATCCTAGGGCGAAGGGGCGGTAGAGTGCCAACAGGGGCCGTCGCACGTGCATGTCGAGTATGACCCTGGATCGCCACTGCTTGCTCTTTTCAACCTCGTTCAAAATGCCGTGGCGCGGGAACAAGTAGTTAATGTCCTCCAAGAATCTGTCCAGTTTCGTTCCAACCTCGAGAACCTCGCTGTAGTCCCTGATCGAATCAACGCGGTTGATCAAGTGCGCAACCTGCATTCGTACCCCAAGAGTCATGGCAGCATATACCTGCATCTGATTATCGGTGAGCTGATCGATTGGCTTGCTGGGCGGCAGCTCTTTCATCTCGAAGAACAGGTCCTTGTCATCTAGGTTTCGTGGTGGTCGGCAGGTAAAGTCTCCGTCGCGAACGAGACACGAGAGGTTGCACGCCAGCGACAGGTGCAGGTCCATGTCGAGAATCGTGAACCACAGCCTCCTCCTCAGCTCGCCGAAAAACACCGGTACTCTCGGTTCAAATTCCGACGGGTCTCGGTGCAAGCCCATCGTCATAGCCATCCGGACGATGTATCCCAATTGTGCCCAAGAATCCTGCGGTCGCGGTGTTGTCATTCTCTGCGCGTGAACCAGTAGAATCTCCGTCTGCAAAGTAGTCAAGTCAACCAGCTGCTTGCCCTTCAAACCGTCCAGCCATGACCTGACAAGCGCACATGCCGTCGGAATGTGTACGCCCTCAACGCGCTCGTGGCCAAGCCCTTTTGATTTCGTCTCAAATCTTGAACCGATGGACAAGACCGTCAGAAGCTGGGGGAGAAAAGCATCCCCCGGCAATTTGCCTTCCCAGAATAGCTCATGTTGCTCCTTAAAGGTGGGTACGTGGATCATTCGGTAAATGGTCTCGGAGGTGTCGATGTAAGACGTCAGCAGTCTGTCGCAGATGGCCTTCTTGGGCAGAATATCCTGCATGCGCTTCATGACAGGCACTACCGAGTCGGCAAAAACGGATATCGGCGACAGAGACTTTCGGTACTCTTCTTGGATCCTCTTGTGAAGCACCTGCAAGCCATACATGATGTCTCGAATACCGTCGATTTTGGACTGGTTTGCCATGAAATCCTTGGCTTCGTCGAACTGGGAGGGATCGGTTAGGGGCACGATCTAGGGGAATGCCGGGTTAGGGGATGTAATTACCAGGTTCAGCAAGACACGTACGCTATTCTGACCAAAAAAGCGCGTTCTCAGAGCGCCTCTCTTAACCGTCAGTCCTCGTATTGTCTCTGGAGACAGCGGCAAACGCTGGCCAGCTCCGCTGAACTCGGTGCCTGCCGGGCTCTTGATCATGAACTGCTTCTCCAAGCGGTCCAGTCGCGAGGTGAGCTCCTCCAGTGCAGAGTGTCCGGTTCCCTCTCCATTGCGTTGAGGAGCGAAAGATGACGATTCCGCCGGGTGCGGTCCTGAGGAGGGCGCCCCGGTGGGAAGACAGTTCCTTTTTGGCGGGCGTTGGATGTCACCAACCTCGGCATCGGAGCCGTCGGACAACATGGACGAGTCCTGTTCGGCAGCATACTTGCAGTTGCGGTGTGACTTCTGGCATTGGGAGCAAGGAAGATTTCGGTCACATCGCAGCTTTCTCTTACGGCATTCGGTGCACGACTTGACGGGTCGCGGCCTTTTGACACTGCGCGATGCCGACGCCGTTGCCGCCGCCGAGGCTGCTGATGGGCCGCCCGCAGGTAAAAGGCCCGATGCAGGCACAGGCGTAGGTGCAGAACCAGGAACGCCGCCGCCGCCGAGCGTCTGATGAGCGGGTTGAGAAGGAGATGTCTCGTACGGAGGAGGTGCGGAGTGCATCGGGCCCATTGGTGAAGCAACCGCAGTGAGGTTCGGATTAGAATGCAGCGTCGTCGTGGTTGTGGTCGCGCCCAGTTCCGGGGCAGACGAGGTTGCGGCGGCCATCTGAGCCGTTCGTTACAATAGTCCCAGAAAAAATCTCCGTTCGGCACCGGTGTAGGAGGATTCTGGCGGTAGCGCAGCGCAGCACACAAAACGGCACACCACAGCAATGCAGCGGCGGCAGCAGTGGCTGGCTTCGATATTTGAAGCTCAAGAAAGCCCGTCGGCTCGGAGTTGTTTGAATCGGCGCGAGCTGGTTGTGGGTAGATTGCTTGTCAGGAGTAGCAGCAGCAGCAATAACAGCAACAACAGCTACAGCTCTAGATTGGCGCAGTGGTCAACCTTGTTCTCATCGAAGGTCCCGGGCGCGTCTGGGGTCGCCTCGGATCCGGAGTGTGTTGCTTGTCCTTGACTCTGACTGGTGTCGAGTCATTCGCAGACCATACATGCTGTGACTGCGCGGGTGAGAACTGAAGGGGGGTGTGTGGCGTGGGCGCAAGCGAGAGAACGAGCGACGGGTCAACGGAGAGGAGTTGCTGCTGGAGGCGTGTTGTTGGTCGAGCTTGCTTGTTCGCTTGCTTGCCAGCTTAGTAGTTGAGGTGTACGGTGTGTAACCGATAGGACGGGAAACGGGTGGCCGTCTCTCTCTCTCTCTCTCCGCGTGTCTTTTGTTCCTTCGTAACTGACCAGTGTCTACTGGGGTTTGAACGACGAGTCCGAGATTTGTCGTCAGTGAAGCAGACGAAAGCTCCGGATGTGATGGAGGTAGCAGGTGAAGAAGGAAGTGGAGGAGAGGAGAAAGGAAAATTGGATTAGGGAAGGAAAAAAAGAGAGACCAAAATTGCTAGTTGCAATGATCCAAGCTTCCTCGGGGCTTTGGGGTATGGTGCGGCGGTGCCGTGCCGTGTGGTCCAGTCAAGACCAGTCCAGTGAGTGTGCTTGCTCTTGCTTCGTCTATGGCAGCAAGGTAAGGCATGGACGGCAAGGCAAGGCCCTTCTTTCTGAAATGTGTCGGACGTGGATACCTGGGAGGTATTCCGTGGAATAAGGTAATAACGGCCTGGATAGCTCCTACTTGTTGGTTTTGATTTTGCCTCCTAGATCCCTCGCGTTGGTGGTGCGTGAGCTTTGTTGAGGCGTGGTGGTCGTGGTGGTGCTGTGCGTGTTGACCAGGATGAGAGATGAGGGACGATGGTGCGCCTTGCTCTGGCTTGCCATGAATGTGCGATGGATATGTGTGTGAAGCGTGTGTTCTCTGTCTTCCTTTCTCTCGCTCTCACTCTGCTCTCTCTCACACACACAAAGGTCGGAAGCCGGGGTTGAGTCTCGAGAGCGGCGTGATATGCTCAGGATGGCCGAGGAGAGATGGAGAAAAGTGTCGAATGTGCAGGGACACGGTGCCCTGGTCAGGCCTGGCCTGGGCTGGGCTGGTTCGCAGTGGACGGGACGGGAAGTTTGGAAGGTTGAGGTAAGGTAGGCCCAGGGAAAAGAAGGTCGAGGTGGTGTGGTTAGTGATGATTTAGTGATCCACCCCCCCTTCTCGGCGGTTGTTCCAGGCCACTTCAGATTGGAGGTGAGAGGGAGGGTACGTAGAGACCTGGTCTATGCCGGGGTGAGGTAAGTAGGGTACTGATATCCTCCTTCAAAGAACGATTCTTGTATCCGTAAGACCAAAACCCTCCTCCTCTTCTGAAGCCTGTCGTCTGCTGTCCGTCGTTTATGCTGGAAAGGCAGGCCGGCTGACAGCGGATTACTTGCGTCTTGTCGAGACGAAGTCGGCACGCTGCTGCCTGTCTGATGAAGGTCTGATGAAGATGAAGCAAAGGCACGATCGATGCTGCCAGGTACAGGCCACGTAGGTATATAATTACCGTATCTGCGGCCTACATATCCGTGCAGCCAATCCGTAGCCTAGCTGCTGTAGACACACCACGGGATGCAGCTGAGAGGCACCTCCGTCCCAGCAAGTGGGCTCCTGGTACTGCATTTGCAGAGAACGGGCAGAAAAAAGGTGTGAACGAGCAGAAAAACGCCGGCGGACCTCGACGCCAAACGACCTCTGTCGACCTTTACTGGCGCAGAGTCTTAGTCTCTGCACCGTAGAGACACCGGCTGAGGGGCAGCACAGGGCCACCACAGGGCCTGGAACGAAGCTGGATGAGGGATCGGCGTACCAGGTACCCTTGTCACTGGCCAGGCCTGCCAGGAAGTCGCTGCATAGCAAGGTACCTCTGCATCTTAACTAAGGTGTCTTGGTTTTAGCGTCTTCTGCGTTGTAGCTAAGGTATTGCAGTATGATTTGCTACTGCGTAGCGGCGGCCATGCATCCCAGGGTGTTCTGCTTCTGCTTCTGCTTGCTGTTGCTGGCTGCTGCTTCTGCCGCCGCCGCTACGTGCCCCGGTACGGATAGCCTGTCTCGTCCTGTTCTGTCCTCTCGTCTCTTCAATGTGTGTGTGTACTTGCAGCCAGCCATGTCATGCACGTCGGAACCCGGGATGCTTCCTTTCCTCGAGCCGACCGTCAGCGACCGACATCCCTTGAAGCTTCGCTTAGCGCTCGGGTGGGGATCGGGAAAACCTCTTTCTTCAGTCGACGATGCGGGTATTGTTGCTGCCTTGTGGCTGTTGTGATGGTTGTCCTCGGCGTGTAATTCCAGGAGGTCAAGCCTCCTCCTCTGCTTTGAAAGGTCGTCGCAGTTGGTTGTATGTGCTCGGTGGTGCGGTGCGCATACGTACGTAAGGTACCGAGCACAACACTTTCCTATTAGCATTGGTGATATGCGCGTGTACCGGGTACTGGGCTGTAAAGCTGAGATGAAGGAGACGGGTGCCAGCAACTGAGTGTCAAGGCCACCCAACAAGATCGGTCAGATTTTTCATGTCGGCAGCTTCGGTACGTACTTTATTTTTATCTAGCACAAGCGGAAATCGTATCGAAAAATCAAGGGTCGTACAGTATTTGCAGTCTGTCGTGTAAGAGCGGATGGAAGGCATGGAAGCATATGTTTCCAAGACTCCATGATATCCGCACCTCGTACGGGACTCCTGACCGCATAGAAAAGTCATGGATTTAGACGGCCGGGGGCCTGGTGATCACGGTACTCGCGGCGCTCTGCCAAATGCACCAACATCGGATGTACCCCTAGTAATCAGGTCGCGTGTCTTGCGAACGGCTCCAAGCGTTCCCGGCCAGAGACTCCAAAAATACACGTGATGTCGAGGTAAAAAAAGGCATCCAGACACCCTGAAAACCGCTGGGAATCCACACTTCCCGGGGCACAGTGGGTGTCACCAAGCGGTCTTGACTGCACTGCACAGCCTGGAACCTCCCTGGAACGTCCGATCCACCGAAGCATCGTTCTGTCCCCGCCGTCCGAAGGTTGTGTCGTGAGTTGAGATTTACCCGTCGACGATGAGGAGGAGCTGCACTAGCCTGGTGAGGAACTTGGAAGAGCAAGAGTCGGACTCAGGGTTTGGGGGTTGAGGTTGACGGGTCGACGGGACGCCCAAGATGAAGTGGACTGGGTGGATACTGCTGATGGGCCTGCTGGTGAAAATCTCCCACCAGCGAGATCTGGATGTCCAGTCAATCCCACCGAGACCAGACGGATAAATGATGATGAGCCTGGCAATGTCAGAACACGTACGTGCATGTCCGAGGTATGTCCTGATTCTCGGTTTTCCGGTGCAAGCCCTGCATGGTTCCTGTAGATACCAACAGATATCAGAAGCTCAGGACCGTGGCGGCATGGCTGTACGATGGTAGTGTGTACCAACAACCCACCAACACTTGAAGATCGCCATCGACATTCAGGTCCAGCAGGGCAGGCGTGTCAAACGCTTTGACGAGCCAGCCAGCGACGCCCATGTATGCATCAGTATTCGTACAAATGTGCCAACTTTCAGCCGGCGGGACGCACGAGGTCGGCGACTTGCGGCCACCACTCTGTGAATAGCACCCGCGTTACTGCATCTGGGAATTCTTCATGCGGTGTGGCCCTGCGTACCAGCGTTCCCGGTTGCTGCAAACCACCATTCGCTGAATAGAAAGCCAAATGATTTGACTGGGCTTGTGTGCGTGTGCTCCAACAGCAATGATTAGTGGTGCTGCGTCTTGCTGGTGGTGGTGGTGGTGGTCTTCTTGGGGGTGGTGGTGGGTGCCGGCTGTACATGCTGGCTGCTCCGGCCTACCTTGCGCTGAACTCTTCAGGCCATGCCGGAGTCGAGTCCGAAGTCAACCGCATCCCCGTACCCTTCCTCTCCCCCCTTCCCTCCACTTCCCACCCCGTCTGAGGGTATCTCACTGACAGGTCCAACCTTGACGCGACGCATCTCGGACTGTGACATGATCCTCACCTAAGCAACTCAATGTGCGCGACGTGGGTGACTAGTCGCCGCCTCGCCGCTCCGCACGTTCTACAGCTAAACCCTTCCCTGGAAACATTGCGAGCGCCTCAGGCTTAGGCCCTGTGCCATGCCATCCCGCGCCCGGTGGTGATGCCCGTGTAGTTGGTGCTGACCGGTGCTCATGCTGTTACCTATCGCTAGGTGGTGTTTCCGATGGGGCTCTGGGTGGGAGAGTCTGGCGCCTCAGTCTGTTCCTTCAACCGCCGCCAAGCCGAGCTTCCCACGTCCATCTTTTCTTTCATCAGCCCGTCGTCGATCGCCAGTCGTCCCCCAACCCCCAGGGCCCCAGTCCCCATTGTCCCCTTCTTCTTCGTCGGCAATTTCAACCCCCATAGCGTGTCTATAACGGGACATGCGTGTACCAGACAGATTCATCGTTCGGATCCAGTTGCTGGTGCCCATGTGGGGGGCCATGGGAAACTTTGATGGTCCTGGGACTTCACTACATCCATAGCCCGTCACCTCCAAGTTGCTTGCTCGAATTCTTCGCTTGAACGAGAAACAACGACGGGCGTCGCCTGTCCTTGGACCGCAGGACAGAGATAGAACATGCGGGCGTGTGACTGTCGCAGGTCGCGCGGGAACAAGGCCAAGGGCACACGCGACTGATTCCACGCTTTGGGACGGCATGTGCCATCACTCATCCCATACTGGGTGACGATCAATCCATGATACACACCCATTCCTGCTTTTTGTCGGCTGGAAAATTGTGTGAGACCTTTCCCTCGACAATCGCGCCGTCCAGTCTCGTGCTGCCTTCCTGGGGCCCAGATTTGCCCCGCGAAACAGGCTGTGCATGCATGCAAGTCTTGATGCCAATCTCGGTCTCGCCTGTTTGTGTCCATGACGAGCCATGATGACTGTCGGCTCGAGCCTAGGGCAGCCAGGGCCCTGAGCGGCGCATCCAGGAATTCCACTCAACCTGCCGCCGCAGCGGCCGCTGGTGGGATGGACATCTGGATCTGGGGGACGGGTTTCATTATGGACTGACCCGTGGGAAATAAGGTAGGTCGGCTCCGTGAATTAGCAACGCTCTGTTAAGCCACACGAGAGAAAAACTGCCCGATCCGGCCTGGCAATCGAGATCTCCCGAACTCTGCGGCGCGTGTCTGGCTCGCTACCACCAATTATTGTCGTCCAAGATGATCAAAAGGTAGAGTCTCGACCCTGTGGTCCAGTCGCTACCGAGTCGGCCAATGGCTCCAAGACACGGTCCAGCCATTCCAGACAGGGCACCACACCGTACCGCCGTAGGCACCGTAGGCGGCAGTAGGTAGTGTACTCCGTCCTTCCAAGGGCACAAGATGAAATGCTGAGAAGTTGATTGATGGAACAAGGACCTCGACCAAGACCAGGAGTCCCGGCATCTGGGGCGCGTTTCGGCGTTATCTCTTCCAGAAGCCAGCAGACAGCATTCCCAGTGGAGCGGCTTGCGGACTTTCAGGGACGCTCGCCGTTGATGATGAGGCATCCATATCCCGGCCCTGCACGAGGTAAGGCCTTGAAACCGGCCAGCACGACATCAGGTCGTAATAAAGTAGGTACAAAGTACCCACGACGGTCCCCTCAGATTCAGTGTTACGGCCCCATTGGGCCCCCATATGGCAGCGGAAAACTCGCTCGTCGGCTCCGAGCATTTCTCCTTGAGGGGGTTTCCTACCACCTAGTGTACTCTGTAGTTGCCGGAGGTGCTGCTAGGAAGAGACTCGGAAGCTAAGCCTGGAGTGCGCAACCAGGTGCACTGACGCCCCCGAGACTGGGGACGAAATTCAAACATTGAACCTTGGGAGGCTGGACGTGCCTTGACTTCGGTTCCGGCATCGCGTTCGTATTGTATGTAAAGAAGTACATTCGGGTTACCTGGAAAAGCAACGTGCGGGTCACGGTAATTCCATATTGCTGCCTGGGGCCAATGAGCATTTTTGAGAGTGAACGCATTGCGTCTCTGGGTCGACTGCAAATAGCGGGAATCCTCCGCTACTCGGCCGACAAGGTTTTTTTTTTTTTTTTTTTTTTTTTTGGTTTTCTTAGTTAATGAATGGTGATGGTGGGAAATGCGGCTGCTGTACAACAAGTGGGTGGCGTCAAACTTGGTGCGACGGAACGACGCGGACTGAACGACAAGTGGGCTGCTCGATTGATTGCAGAGGTTATTGTCAATGTTAGTGGCGTGCGGCAGCAGACCCTCGAGGGCGCGGCGCGGCGTCAGTAAGTTCAGTCGACGTCAAAGAACGACGAGCCATCCCCCTTTCCGTGTGTTTCCCGCGAGGAGTTCATGTTGATGCAAGAAGAAGCATATGTCGGCAATGATGAACCTTAATCAACTTGATCAGACTGGCGAACAGATCGCGTGCGCAGGCGGTAAGACACTGGAACGCGGCTTTTGAGGTTGGGGCGATCCTTCGAGCCCAGGACAGGGCAGCAGTTCGTCGGTGGAAATGGGCGGCCTTGCATGACAGTAGGGTTTGCATCCGCGTCGTCGAGGCTTTTTGAGGCGAAGCTTGATGGCATCACGATGGTTGTCAGTTTCGGCTCAGACTTGCCGAGATTTGGGGAGTCCTTGCTTGCGTCGGTGGACGGTGAGTGGACGGCGTCTGCTTTGGTCGTCACGGTCTTGGGATTGACGACTTGGATGGCGAAGTGATACATCGGATGACGGACGACTTGCCAGCTGGACCGCATACCTCAAAGGCTTGTTTGCCTTTGGGGTAGGAGCATTTTAGGGACGGAAAGCAAATCTCTGATTCAAAAAGCGGTTCTCGAGGGTGATGCTGGATGGTGATGTTTGAGTATGGGTATCGTCGAAAGTGATTGCCATGAAGGCAAACGATCAACCCTCCCTCCCTCCATCGGGGCTTTCCCCAGGCTTCGTGGATGGCTCCGTTGATGGTACGTTGGGCGGGTGTGGGAAGCATCCTGATTCTGGATCGGGAGAATGGACAGTTGGGCCTTTGTCTTTCCAACGCCCGTTGTTTCTGCAAGTGTCAGTTCACCATGTCTCGCCATCATTCCATGGCGGGTTCAGGAAGTGAGCCGCGGCCTGACTAACGAGCCGGGTGCCTGACGCGGTCCCTTGCAGGAAGGATGGAGGCGGTCTCTTCCAATAGAGGCTGGAGGTGTCCGAGGTGCACAGGTGTGTGTAAGTGCGTGGCTCAGGCTGGTAGCATCTTCAGAGTGGTTCGCCTTCTCCACCATTCCTCGTGACAGCATGACATGCGAGAGTATAAGCGGCAAACCCGTTCTGGCAATGTTCGTTCTTCGTTACATCGGCGAGAGACATGGTGTCAAGGCAGACGGGAGCCGGTGTCTTGCTCTTGTTCGTGTCTTGATGCGAAAGTGTAAGTACTTGCTTGTCAGTGCCGCCGCCGACTGATGATTGACAAATGACACTGGATGATGATTAGTGTTGCGGCCGCGTCAAATCGTCCAATGGAAGCAACCTTGTCCGGGCGACTGAGCCGGGGCATGTCCTGTCGCGTTGCACAATACCTAAATGCAACATCACTTGCAGTCTGCAGACGGGTCGAGCGAGGGGCGGGCGAGATGATGTCGAGTGTCCCGTCCAGGCGAGAGGTGAAGCGAGGGACGAGGGTTGAGACAAGAAGGATGATCTGGCGTAGGAAGCAACGATTGGCTTTCCCTTCCAGGTAAGGCAGGAACGGATAGGTAAAGTGAGATAGAGTTGGGTGGAAGGAAGGCGCGACCCGCGGAGTAGCGCTTGCCTTCCATTCACCTCAGAGCACTCACTACCACCTCACCTCGTACTGCCTAGGTAGCAAGGCAGCTACCTAATTACCACTCTGTGTCTGTACAGCAGGTACATACCCGCCCTGCCCTGCGTTCCTTCCTTCCTGCCTGCCACCACGGAGCCGGGCAGGCAGGAACGAGGTTAGCGCTACGGGAGCCCCGAAGGAACTTACCCAGGAAGGCACGATGGTCGGTTAGGTTGCCTTGGCTAGCGCGTATTCGCCGGGAATAACGGCCCCCAAAAACGTTTTGTTTCATTGGCAGGGAAGCCGAGCGAGACATGGCCGAGACACGCAAGTACTGTTCCATAGAGAATCTGCCGAAGTGATACAACACATTGCTTATATCTTTCGCGAGGTATCTTCAGTGTTCACTACCTGGGGGCCTAGTGAGCCTAGATTTCGATTTAGAGGGGTGGCTGGCCAGAGACTGGAACCTGATTGAATTGGCTCTTGCGGCTTGCCGCGCCCTTTCGCTCATCATTGGCGAAGCTTCGCCGAGGCGCCGAATGCTAATTCAGAACCCAAATGGCAACTGAACGCGTTACTTGCGCGCTTCTGCGCTTTGTAGGCGACTGCATTGCGTTTGGAATAGGTCACATTTAATTTTTTTTTTTTTTTTTTTTTTTTTACTCTGGACATTTCGGTTCGATGTCTCCTCCAAATTCCAACATTTGCTACCTGACAGGCCTGAGTATGAATACGACACAATACTACCTACCTTAGTGAATTGTTTATATCTTGTCAGTGATACTCATAATCATTACCCCGGTCGGAATAGCTCCCAGAACGAGCGAATCGCAGGCGGCCAAAACCTTTCGCGTAGATTGCCGTATCGCAGCCAGCCTCAATCGAGAAGAATTATTTCCAGAGAACCATTGCCATGTCGGATGCTGATGTCTTTGACCTGTGGTTCGACAACTCGGTGCAGCAGGGTGAGCAGGCCTCTTGCCAGCTTTGCGTCTGAATACCTTTTTGGTTGTCTTGTCTTGTCTATTAGAACGCACATCTAAAGCTGTTTTCGTCTTTTGCCGCAATCCAGGGTCCTTCAAGCCGGACGATCTCCTGTCGCAACCGCAGTCGCAGTCGCATCCGCCGCCGCAGCCTGCCCAGCAACAACAGCAGCAACAGCAACGGCCCCAATTCCAACCTCCCCCGCCTCCTCCTCCGCGAAGAAATCAGCAGCAGCAACAACAACAGAAGCAGCAGCAGTCCACGATCCAGCGTCCGCCGCTGCCGCAGCCGCAGCCGCAGCCTGACCTCCGACGTCAACCTCCTCCTCCTCCACCTCCTCCCTTCGCCGCCGACATGTCGGTCGCCAACACCGCCAACGGCAAACCGCAGCCGCAGCAGCGCCCCTCGAGAAGCCCTGCCCCGCCCCGCGACGAGGAGGCCGTCTCCAAGATCCCGAATCTCCTCCCTCACGAGCGCGTCTTCCCCATCCAGATAGGATCCGAGCTGTTCAAGCTGTCCGGCGCCTCCATTTCGTCTGATGGTGCGTCCACGATCCCTGCCTTCCCTGCCAACGTGAAGCCGATCCTAGACATCCGCTGGAAGGACCGGCCTCGTGCCGCGACCACCCGCGATACCACCGTATATATTAACTTGCCTGACGTGTGCTGATCTTATCTTCCAGCTCCTTCCTACTTCTCCCAGTACTTCTACTGCCAGGTCAAGAAGGCGAAAGAGACCGGCGAGGACCTCTCGAGCGCCATCCGCACCCTATACATCGATCGCGACCCAAAGACCTTTGCCGACATCTCCCTCCACCTCCAGGGCTACCATGTCAAGCCACGAGACGGCACGCACTTTGTGCGCCTCTTCGCCGACGCTCAATTCTACAGCTGTACGGTCTGCCCCTCCAAGAGCGGCCTTGCCGGCGCATTGCTAACATGTATCACCTCCAGTACCGAAGCTGATATCACAACTATACGAGGAGTCAATCTTCATCTCCATCGGCCACCGCGAGTTCCAGATCCCCCGCGACATCTTCACAGACCCGGGCAACTCCCCCAACTTCTTCTCCCTCGGCTTTGCCGTCTTCTTCTCGAACCCAGAGGACCTCTTCCCGGGCCTCGACCGTGAAGGCCTCCTCCGCCCGCCCTCCATCCTGCCCCCCTCCGTCGCAAACCGCTCCGCCGACACCTTCGCCGAGATCCTGCACCTCCTCCGCGGCTACCCCGTCACCATCCGCAACGAGAGCCACCGCGCCGAGCTTCTCCGCGACTGCAGATACTTCAACTTCAAGGGCCTCGAGCAGAAGCTCATCCCCCACAACATCAGCTACAACCAGTCCCGCCGCCGCGAGGAGATCGTCCTGCGCCTCGAGGACATCCTCAAAAGCGGCATCAGTGTCGCCGCCGACGCCTCCTCCACGATCTCCTCATCCTCGGGTGACCACTTCACGGGCTGGGTCAACTACGCCCGCCCCTACGTCGACGACCGCGCGGCCGAGCTCGTCCTCGAGATCGGCGGCGAGAGCACCCGCCTGCACTTTCAGCCAAACTCCATCCGCGCAGAGTTCTTCCGCGACACCCGCGCCCGCGTCGCCCGCATGTTCGAGGTCGTCGCGACCAAGCTCAATCTGCCTCCGACGACCCAACCCCTGGGTCTGCTCATGGCATCCGGCGGCGCGGGCAGCCAGCCCCCGACTCCGGGACACACGCCTCTCAGTGAAGACCTCGTCCGCGTCGTCATCGACCCGGACACCTCCATTACCCTCGACGGCAAACCGTATACCTTTGACACCCCCGCTCCCGCAGACGACCAGGCCTCGTCGACTTCGAGCACCGGTCAAGGCGGCGGGCACGAGTCTCCGTCGGCGTCCACCGCTGCCGCCGGCTTCCTTCCGAACTCGCGGAAACGCCGACGCATCGACTCGTCTGGCTACGCCGCCGGCGGCAGCCACGCTGCGCTGGCGGCCGAGGAGTGGGTCGTCAGGACAGGTCAGTGGCGGCTCAAGATCCAAGGCACCCGCAACGGCAAGAGCGGCGTCGAGTGCGTGCTCGTAGCCATCAAGCTCGACGCCTACAGCTCCGAGAGCGCGCGCAATTCGACCAGGGGATTCCTGAACGGGTGATTAATTTGCTGAAGAATTGCGTCTCAAATCTTTACATAATATCAGTGTGACAAGCCGGGAGGTTGTCTAAGATCTAGGAAGTGGAGGCGAGGGGAGAAGATGACAAGTCACTTATGCTGAACGACGTTATGATACAATATGTTTTACATATACCACGGAAGGAAGGAAGTCGGGACTGTAAAGGGAAACATCCACGACAAAAGTAAGGCTTTATTTTATACTTCTCGGGCTTTTCTAGCACTCATATAAATCTGGTAACCCAAACGGCTGTTTGTACAGATGATACACATCAGCTTTGGCTCTAACCCACACCTAACGTGTGCCGTGAAATGCCCCATGTTTCTGTCATCCTGAGTTCTACGGCAGAAATTCAAGGCAAGTACTAACATCGGCGTGCCCCCCTTTCCTATCCTGGAGACTTGTACACCGACGACTTGGACTCACCATATCGAGCGGCCCTTACGCAATCGCTGCTTCTGAGACAAACCCAGCATAGCGTTGGCCTCAGTCCACGAGAAGATGGGCAGCAGCAGCAAGGCGTCAAGCAAGTATTTCTTTCCATAAGACGTTTGTCCACGAGGTAGACATACAGACCAGCCAGCTGGTCACGCTTTCATTTCGAACACAGGTCAAATCCTCGCGAGAGAATACTAAACCTACTCTTACACCTTTCGTACTTATCTTCAACACAAGTATAATCAAGCATGCAAACGACGAGTAAGTTTAAACAGTATAAAAAGCAAAGTTGAAATTACCGCGTCGAAACGAGAAAAAATGTACTATCCACCCCTTCCTACTCATCCAACGGGGCAAAAGGACAAACAACACTTTTAATCGTACAAAAACAACCGCGAACCCGTATAATACGTATACTAAAAAGGGGTGTAAAGGTAACAGACACAATAATCCTCAACTCCTCATGATTAGCCCTTCCTTTGCCTTTCCGAAAACGCCGCGACAATGCAAATGTAGAAAGGAGGACCGGCCGTTATGAGGGTGAAGAAGAAACGCGAAAATAATTATCCAGAAACCAGGTATTCGCACGCAGAAAGAAACGCCCCATGCCGTGGAAAACAAGACAAGAATCCTTTCCCACTGTTTTGGTATCTTTCCCATTGGGTCCGCCCCGTTCCCACCGGAAAAACGCCGTCGTGTCATGCGTGTGTGTTGTGTGCGCGTGTGTGTATCTGTCATTTGTGTGATGTGTGTGTGATGTTTTCATGTACCGGCAGACCAGCCCAGCGAGTCCCGCGTAATCCTCCAAATCCGGTTCTTCATCTCGGCCGCCCTCTGGAAAGGACTGGGCCGCTGGTCGTCGACCCCGTTGTGGGCAGTATCAGCATGAGCGACGTCGATCCGCGTCGGCGTCGTCGTGCTAAGCCCCCGTTGCGAGTTGCTGCTGCCACCACCGCGCGGGTCCGTGAAAGGCGCCGAGGGACTCTATGCCTTGGCCTTGGGGACCGCCTGGCCGGCGGGGGCGCTAACGTCTCGCCGCTCCCCGGCGCCCTCGATCATCTTCTTGCGCGGCGTGGCGGTGCCCTGCGCGATGGACTTTGCGCGGCCGCGGCGCTCGCGGATGCGGGCGAGGGCCTCCTCGCGGGTCATGGTGGGCGTCATGGCCGGGTTGTTGATGTCGAAGGACATATGCGACTCGCTAGAGGGTGTGCGGGCGCGCTCGTAGCGCGGCACGGGGCGAGGCTTGTCGTCGCGGAGGGGCACGCTGATGGTTGTGGTCTTGGTGTAGAAGGCGGCGGCGGTGTGTGGGCGGACGGTGTTGTCGGGCGTCGGGGACGGGCTGCGTGAGGCGCGGGATTCGGGGCGCGCTGGGGTGTCGGGCATGGTGGGGATGGACGGGAGAGGAGCCGTGTGAACCTCGCCGTCGGCGCCGCCGTGGGGTGCGTTGAGCAGGGAGGCTAGAGACATGCGCTCTTGCGCGAGGACCGCGAAGGCGGGGGGGTCGAGAGATGGCGTGCGGGAGAATCTTAAAGGTGCGTCAACGGGTGTCGGCGGCTCGTTGGGGGAAGCCTCACTGTCTTCGTGCTGCGGCTCCTCCTTCTCCCTGCGAGCCTCTACCTCCTCTGCTTCTTCCTGAGAAACAGTGCGGAAGATGCCCTCGCGAGGGCAGAAGATGGTGCTTCTCCTCTCTTCTCTTGATCTCTTCAAGCTCTCGGGCTTCTTCGGCACGTCGTCCGAGGCGGGGGACGACAGCTGAGAGGATTTCAGAGATGGCTTGCGGTCTGACAGCGACTCTCGTGAATCGCGAAGAATGACCAGGTCGCTAGCGTCAGCGATCTCAGCAGGGGCCATCAGCCTCCTGCGCGGCGACAGAATGCTCGGTCTGTTGGAGGCCAGACTCTGTCTGGGGGATGCCATGCTGTGCCTCTTGCGCGCCTTGGCATAGGAGCAGCAGCGGTTCTCACACTCGGCCTGCATGAAATCAACCATCTCATACGCGCGGTCAGCGCGCTGGCGCTCCCAGGAAAGCTCGAGGCTCAGCTGCTCAATCTCCTCCTCGGTGGCGGCGGACGAGACAATGTCGACCGTCGAGAGCGAGAAGCGCGGCCTCTTCTTGGGCGATGAGAACTCGTCTTGCGCGGCATCGTTCTTGGGCAGCGGGATGCGGCCCTCCGCGGCGATGCGGGCTACTTCCTCCTCCTTGGCAAGCGTCTTGAAGGCATCACGCTCCTGCTCGAGCAACTTGATCTTCTCGAGGGCTTCTGTTAGCTGCTCCTCCATGCTGACCATTTGGTAGCGGGCCTGGAAGGCTTCTTCTTCTCTCGCCTTGGAGCGCAGCTTCTCGGCGTCGATGTTGTCGGAAGCCGCCCTCCACCCTTCGCGGGCGGCCTTGAGCTCTTCCTGCAGTTTGATGATTTGCGACTCGTTCTTAAATGTCTTTTTGCGGGCCAGCTTGATCTCTTTTTCCCAGGCGGCTTTGGTGTGTGCGTACGTCTCCTTTGCGCGGCCGTATTGCTCCTAATCACAAATGTTAGAACACGGGGGCTGCCAACCTCGGAATCACCGGGCGGGGTTTCTTACCATGACGGTCTCTAGCCTCTCGCTGACGCGCTGTTCTCTCTCCTTGCCCTTCTCGAGTTGAACGCGCAGGACCTTGCACTCGTCCTTGTAGCGGCGAGCCTCGCCCTCGGCCTCCTCGCGGCCGAGCATGGCGCGCTTAAGGGCGGCGTCGGCGGTCTTGCGCTCGAGGGTCTTGGTCTGGTTGGCGAGGGAGTTGAACTGGGAAATCTTTTCGTGGACGGAGCTTTCGCGGCCTTCGCTGCCGCGCGGCGAGGGGAAGAGGTTGCGGGCATCGCGCTTCTGGTTGGCGCGGTCTGGGGTGATTGGGTTGAGCGGGAGGCTCGGTGATGGCGACGCCGGGGCGTCGGGGATGTCGGCCATCTTGTGTGTGTATTGTATTTTGTGTGTGCGTGTGTGTCGACGGAGCGATGTTGGAAAAGGTGCGTGCTGGGTGTCTACCAACGTAAATCCCCTATCATGCGGGATGAAGGCGGGTTGAGTGATTTTGGAAAATTGCTAGGTAAGCCTTTTCTTTTTTTTAGTCTGGTCCTGGGGCGGTTTCAGGGCGCGAGGGGCAGAGTCACACAGTCGTCGCAAAAGTGCGATGATGACGGTGATGGCGTCGAGCGAGGTAAGCTGGGAGAGGTGCTTAATGAAGGTGGTATCATCTAAGGCAGGTCAGGCCAGGCAAAAGCAGAAAAGTAGCACTCAAGGGATCTTATCGACCCAGGATGGCGGTTGCGGGTGGGAGCAAGGCCGTTGCGGGTGTTTACAGCGGCGCTGCAGGCGGGTTGACTGGGAGACGCGGCGGGTTGGAGTGTGAGTGGGTGGCCCCAAGCAGGTTCGACGCCGTAGCGAAATGGGCGAAATGGGCGAAATGGGCTTCATTCCCGGAAAGGGATTGGGCGTGAAGAACAACGACCTAAGCAAGCCCCACCGTTGGGCCCTTTTTCAGTGTCACGGAGTGCAGCCCCGGGTAAAAAATTGCAGTGTCGCGTTGGTGAGCTGCTTAATGTGGTAAGCTCAATAGACGCAGACCCCACACAGCGATTGCCCCGCTAAGAGGCATGCAGCTAGAGGAATTGAGCTTGGAATCCGCAGAATTGGGAGCACACGAGATGATGCAAGCAGATGCCGATTGGGCATTGCGGTAAATGAAGTCCATTTCTTTTGGGAAATCTCCATCGAAGCCCTGTCTTCCGGTGCAATGTCTCAAAGACTCAAGGCCTGTTGCATTTGCATTATGTTGTGCAAGTTGGGTTCCTTGTGCAATTGTGTTGGTCGTGAAATATTGGCTAGGTGAGACCGAAACTTGAGCTTCTGGAAGCTTACCTAACTCACGGCATCCGGAGGCCGTCGACAGCAACAAAGCACTATATTCGTGACTCCCCATCTCCAAGGGCTCCCCCAAAAGCACCAAAGGGCCGTCTCTTCGGATGGCTTGGATCCGCGACGGCCTATCACACGCCGTCTAAAAGTCACTTTTTGGGGCCCATGTCCGCCGTCCCCACGCCCACGGTGCAGCCATCCTCGCTCGCTCTCGGCATCAACGTCGATATTTGAACAGCTTGCCCCAATCAACCAGTAACAGCAGCCCGGTTTGCAAACCAGCGTAGAGTCCGTCCCCCCGTCCGCGTACCCAATTCGTGCTCCTTGGCCCCCAATTGCTCCAAATATGCAGTGTCCGCAGCTTCCGTCAGGCCACATCTCTATGTGGTTCAGGGGGTCGTCGATGGGTGACGTGACCTATCTTTAGCGCAGGACAGCTCCAAAATATATTTCCGTAAAACTCGCGAGACCCCCCATTGGAAGAGCTCCCGGAATCCCATCTTTGCTTCTTCAACACAACCACGTGTCCCGACGTGCACATCAGTCACATACACACTCTGCACACACAATGGCCGACGACAAGGTACGGCAGCGCAAGCCGCAAGCGGCCGCCGAAGAAGACGACGACAACCTCTTCGCGGGCACCCCGGCCGAGA